AGCCCGGTACCCTACAGATCAGACCTGACGCCGTGCGACTGTGTGCCGGACGTCCAGGTATGAGTCTGTCCCGGCTTCGACCACACGATAGCGGGCCCTCTCGTCGGTAGCGAGGGCCGCAACGTCGGACTCGGCCGCGCCCCTGAGGCCAAGACGTCGACGGTGATGACTACTCGGGTCTGGACTGTGTCACGCCCCGAGGTAGAGACACCGCCTTGCGGGGGCACAGGACTAAAGGCAGGCCATTTAGTCTCCTGTACTCCCTCAGGACTGGGCTGTTCGATCGAACCGCTCGATTGGCAGCCGCTCCGAGAAGTGCCACTTGCCCGTGTTACGGCGGTACTCGGCCCAACAGCTATCGGAGGACCCGTACAACGTCGGGCTCGTCCTGCTCGTCTGGACCACACGCAGACACAGGCCTTTAGAAGTTGGGCGTCGGCGTCTCGGCTCGGAGGCTAAGGGACCGAGGAGAACCACACTCCTCCTGAACAGGTAGAACCAAGCGGTAATACCGCTGCACCCTTCCTGCGCGAGCATCGTCCACGCAACGACTCTTTTCTCTTACGTGTTGGCAGCAATTAGGCCTCTTTTTCGCTGCCACATCTAAATAAGAGTTTCTTATAATTGACCACACAATTATGGAAAAAATAAGAAGATGAGGAGACCACCACTCTCTCTTTTTCTTTTTGCAGGAGCGATGGCACCACAGCCATCACTCCCTTCTGTTTTGATCGTGTGCACATAACGATCGAACTTTTAGTTTTGGAATGGAAATAAAGGCTCTTTTTTGTGCGTCCGCTAACGTTGTGATTGACCACACAATCATAATGTCCAGAAGAACGTCTTCATATATATCCTTCATCGGCCGCTCCGCGGGCAGCTGGCTCCAATCGAACCTATCGAACCAAGCAGACACCTGAACACACTCGATCGGCCGATGGTTTATATCTCTACACGAGACTCGCTCTTCTCCCACAAACTTACTGCGTACGCCGCATCGCGTTCGATGAATATCCCCCCACCTAAGGGGACTGCGACTGCAGTTCTAGGGCGGTTAGTCCTAACCGAATTACTCTAACTACGAAGACAAACGAGGCGCTACTCCGCGTAGGGTATCACTCTGTAGCTTGCCTCCACAATACTTACTCTGTTCTTAAATATGGATTTATATGTAAATTTTCTCCATGTTCCATCAAACCTACAACGGCAGCTAGCTTACAGGTAAGTAAAGGTTTAACGACAAACTATAGAAGCCAACATTTGAACTCGTGACGTGAGGTTGCAGGTCAGTGACACTAGAACTAATGATTGTAATCTACAGTTGTTTCGATACCACATCTACGATTTGTGATCGACTCATAAGACCGATATCACTAAGTTCAGACATCTAGACTTTCATTTCTCGTTGTAAACAACAAGACAGTGTTAGCTATACCCTGTCTATCGTTTTCGTAACATGCATCAACTGCATTGGTTAGTACTACCTCTACACTAATCGTTCGTAGTAAAAGAACACAGATTATACTCAACGTTTACAATGTCACAATTACTCTATTATGTGACGCTGCTTATGGTTTGCTGTCTTCATCATAAAAGGCCTATAATGAACGCCTACACCTCTGAGGAGGAAAAACCAGTTATCCCTCTTACGTACGCAGTCGAAACAGCATAACGCGAACGCGGATTCTAAATAGCTACGTCCAACGAAGAACGAAGTTTATGGCGCTGCTATCGCTTATGAAACGATTTTACAACGTCAACTTTCGAACTTCAAACGCAGGCTAGTTAGTAGTCGACTTCTCTGAGCAACGTAACCAGTTTTTCATTCATTGTTTGTTTTGATGACGTACCCATCGCGATAAGTCCACTTGTCCTTCATGTACACTAAACTCACTTCGTATGGACATTCTGTCCACTGTCAAAATAGTCGAACACCTCAATGACTAAATTATACTGTTCAGGTAGTACTAAGAGTGCGACGGGTTACAAGCGCTAGGTAAAGCATCACGATTACTCTAAGGCTCGTGGTGAGACGTAATCGGTCGACAAGAGTTAGTATCGCAACACAGTGTTTTAGACACTCTGACATCTGTAGTAATTCCGTCAGGTCTGATGACTTCTACTTATCGATACCATGTCAAAGGTTTAGGACGACACTGTAAATCTAGAACATTATGTTCTATATGAGAAATCCACAATCACCACTACAATCAATGACAAAAATTAGACTGCAAGCTTTAAGTCCAGTATCAATGTACTCATTATGGATCTAACATATCAGACATAGACAAACACAACTGTGTAACGTCTGACTACGAAGTTCACGCAGTGGTGAAAATAGCAAGACGGAAACCGAGGTTTTTTGGTATGGGAGAAACAACAATTAGCCTCTTTCGAAGACTGTGTAGTCAGTACCTAAACAAGGTTACGATGAATGAGTCACAACCTTAACCTCAGTATCAGAAGACCACTATAACCAATGCATGTAACACACTCTAGGTGTTATCATACTATTGAATAAACAAAAACAAGTAATAGTTACTCGGTCTCATCACATCTACAATTTCTCTTTCTAGAGGTTCTACCTCGAACTCATTACAGGTGTACAGTATTAAACAGTTTGAGGTCTACACATTAAATTGGATATCTTTGTTTCTAACAAGACAGGGAAGATTCATCCTCAAAGTGTAAATGCTCAAAGGCTGTCAGGTGTCAAAATCAAGGCAGCTCATATATAATCACTTCAAGTTGTCACCAGTTTGCGTCGTTGACTCTAGAGTACACATGGAACTGGTCGGCACCCAGTAGACACTCGGGGGACAACAAAACACAGTGACGACATGATTTATTGAAGTACTACATCTCCAACATTTGGGTCCCACAATGCAGAAAACGACATCTGTTTTTGCCTGTCCTACTACACTGACGCGAACATGTTAATTTTCCTTCCTTGCTTTCACCGTCGTTCCAGTATATAACTCGAGTTTTTAATGAAGGTTGGACCAAATTAAAGAGTTTTCTTCTAGTACGATAAAACTGGGGTCATTTGAACTATTACCTATGTCTATGTCTGCGGAACAGGAGGCTATTACGCAGACAAATGTCCTCGTAAAGCACCTGCTCAACCTGGGTTTCATAATAAACACAGAAAAGAGCATGTTGTGCCCGGCACAGACTGTACTCTTCCTGGGTTTACACCTGAGCTCGGTGCCCTTTACAGCCCGCCTGTCAGCGGAAAGAGTGAAAGCTTTCAGAGCTTGCCTCGCTCATTTCCAGCTGCGCAAACATGTTCTTTTCAGATCATGCCTGCGGTTACTGGGGCTCATGGCGTCAGCCATCCTGGTTGTACGACTGGGACGGTTACACATGAGGGAGTTTCAGCGCTGGGTAGCCGCTCTAAAACTAAACCCTGCGCGTCATGGCGCGCGGAGAGTGATGGTTACTGTGAAATGCGTAATGGCACTGCGCCACTGGCTGCACCCGACTTTTCTGGTACGGGGCGTGCCTATGGGTGCTGTCCTTTCACGGAAGGTGGTCACCACAGACGCATGTCTGACATGCTGGGGAGGTATTTACGAAGGTCGTCCGGTGAGGGGTCTCTGGAGCAGAGACCTCCAGCGGTCGCACATAAATTACCTGGAGCTTTTAGCGGTGTTCCTCACCCTAAAACGCTTTCTGCCTTTTCTCAGAGGACACCATGTCCTCGTGAGGACGGACAATACGACCACAATATCGTATATAAACCGACAAGGGGGTTTGCGCTCTCTCCAGTTACACATGCTGGCACGCAAACTGATCTTGTGGAGCTGCGGCCGTCTCCTCTCTCTGAGAGCGACGCACGTACCGGGTGTGATGAACCTCGGGGCAGACCTGCTGTCCAGAGGTGTACCACTATATGCAGACTGGACTCTACATCCAATGTTGTGAGCCAGCTGTGGGTGCGTTACGGCCGAGCCGCGGTAGATCTGTTCGCATCAAAAGAAAATGCTCACTGTCAGCTTTTCTTTTCAATGCGCGATCAAAACGCACCGTTAGGCGTGGACGCGCTCGCGCACATTTGGCCTCCGGTCCTCCTGTACGCGTTTCCCCCCTGGCCTGATACCCCCAACTCTGGCCAGAGTGAGGGAACAGCGCCACACACTGATCCTGATAGCTCCGCACTGGCCTGCAATGTACTGGCTGGCGGAGATTTATCAGCTGCTGTGCGGTCAGCCGTGGCAGCTCCCCCTACGCAGAGACATACTGTCTCAGGCGGGGGGGACGATCTTTCACCCACACCCGGAGCGCATGGCACTATGGGCCTGGCCCGTGAGTGGTATAATCTGAATGCAGTGGGTCTCCCGCAGAAGGTGATAAACACTATTCAGAGTGCGAGAGCTTCCTCCACCAGGTCTCTTTATGACTGTAAGTGGAGGGTGTTTGAGGACTGGTGCCTTCAAAAAGGGCACACCTCTTTTCAATGCCCTGTGGGAGTGATTTTATCATTTCTACAGGACCTAATTGATAAACACAGAGCTTTCTCCACGATCAAAGTATACCTGGCTGCTATTGCTGCATGCCATGTGGGTTTTGAGGGTAAGACGGCCGGCCAACATCCTTTGGTCTGCCGTTTTATGAAGGGAGCTCGCAGGCTCCTCCCTGTTTCCAGGTCACTGGTGCCCTTATGGGACTTGACAGTGGTTTTAGATGGGCTCACTCGAACCCCATTTGAACCCCTGGAAGAAGCTGACATGAAGCACCTGTCACTGAAGACAGTGCTGTTACTGGCTCTGGCATCTGCCAAGCGAGTCAGTGACATTCATGCGCTCTCTGTACATCCTTCATGCACTCAGTTTGCCCCGGGGCAAACGAGAGTGTTGCTGAAGCCCAACCCTGCCTTTATACCTAAGGTGGTTGGTTCATGTACCCCAATTGACATTGAGGCATTTCCTCCGCCGCTGTGTTCCACCGGGGAACAGCGGCCGAATTTGATGTGTCCAGTTCGTGCTTTACGCACTTATATGGACAGGTCAAAAGAGTTTCGTTGTAGTGACCAACTCTTCATATCCTGGGCTAACCCTCAGAAGGGCAAGCCCGTTACCAAGCAACGCCTCTCCCACTGGATTGTGGAAGCGATTGCTTTGGCCTATACGAGTCAGGGTTTGCAGGCACCTACGGGTCTGCGTGCTCATTCGACTCGTGGTCTGGCTACATCCTGGGCTTTGTTCAAGGGTGTTTCCATCCAAGACATTTGTGCAGCAGCGAGCTGGTCCTCGCCGCTCACTTTTGTCCGCTTTTACAGATTAGACGTCTCTGCTCCCAGTGTGGCCCGAGCAGTGCTGGGTCCCGTGTTGAGTCAGAGCTCTACCTGTTAAGTTCTGGTTGGTTTGGTGATTTTCGAGATAAGCTTGTCTGGCAATACGGGAGCTTCAATATCCCATAGTGAGACATCGAACGGAGTGTTATGAATGAGAACTATAGGTTACTTACGTAACCCCAGTTCTCAGAGTAACATGTAGTGAGATGTCTCACCAGACGGCCCTCCTTGCTAAGGTGAAGCGAGAAGAGGTGCTTATTTTGAATGACGCTGCGACGTGGCGCAAGCTACTTATAGGGTGGGTGGATTCCCTGACGCTGACGTCAAGATCACCAGCCAATCAGGATTGGCTTAATGAGATTGATGCTTCTGTTTGCTCCGCGATGAGGCGCATCCCATAGTGAGACATCTCACTTCATGTTACTCTGAGAACTGGGGTTACGTAAGTAACCTATAGTTCTTTCTCCCTGTTCCTGCCTGTTGGCGTCAGCTGATAGAGGTGTTATGATTCTATCTTGTTATGCAGCAGCATGGTGATTATTCTCTATGAACTAGCTAAATACATGGGTCTGGGGTAGAGTTCTTCAGATTTGACGTGGCAACTCTCCCGTGCAGTCAGACCGTGACTGCTGTGACTTATGATGTGAATTCTCCGTCCGAAGCTCCTAAATAAACCATCAGTGTTTGACATCAAAGCTCCTGCTCTTCCCGTGTCTCCTTCATCAGTCGGTGACTCTCACTGCATTGCTACACAGAAGTTTCCCTCACACTTAATATTTGGAGTACAAAAACAATCCTGATATCATTAGAAAGCTATAATATCCCCTTTCCAACAGTGTACAACTCAAAATGTGTCTTCGGGTCAATGCGACTGATTTCGATAGAGCAGGTCACAATATGTTAAGATAAAATGTGTTACTTTGTGATTAGTAACAAAATTGCTTATTCTTTTGTTGCAATTGTTAGCCTTTGAAATATATTTCATTTGGCAAAAGATTACTGAGATTTGTACAATATATTTAATGGAATCTGATACATAGCGTATGCAAGATTAGTTTAGAATGATTTGTTGGAAATGTATTTGCTTTGTATATATCAAATGAACTGTGTGATGAAGCAATATGTTATACTCAAACATATGCTATTTTCCAGATTTTTGAAGCATTCATGCAACTTTCTAACTTCTGTTTGAAACTTTTAAAACGGCTGTATTATAACGAGGGACTTTCATGTCAAGGTGTACTTTTATATACCTGATTAAAGGGTTGTTGTTGCACAATTGATCCTAATCAAAACACTTAATCTCTGCTCCCCCTTGATTTAACCACCAGTTACTTCAAAAAACACTAATTTGTCTGATATTGTCAAACGATACACACGTGTGGCTTTGGGAGGGTTGTCCCAGAGGGCCGCTGTTGCAAATCGGTCACTGATTAAACGTTGTGGAAAATATACCACAACGCATGTGTGTCCTCAGGGATGACAATTATAATTCTAAGAGATTTGATAGACTACGGATATCTTAGGTTTTATTTGTAAAAGTCTTGTAGGGCTGTTGAGAGTTCAATGTTGGAGAAATTATAAAAAATGATCATATTTTATTCCAGAAAGGTCATACAAGATGAAAAGAAAAGGCTGATTACATGGAACAAAACATATGCTTCTGTCTAGATATAATTCAACCTTAATTGAAATCAGCTTCATGGGGGACTTTGTTCATCAAATCTGTTCGCCTTTGATTTTTTCATTTCTTTTAATTTCGGCTGATTGTTTGATGAAACATGTCCTTAATCATCAAGCACATTTTTGCTTTTCAGTATTTCATTTTCAACAAAATCATTTGTCAAGGGGTGAGATAGGCCTTTTGAAAATACATTTCATTTTTTACGTCTTGTCCAACACCAACCTGATCTAATAACGCAAATTTAGAATAAAGAAAAGTGACAACGAATGTCTTTCAACAAGAGAACCATTTATTAATTGGATGTTGCTCTGGTTTCACAGGTACAGTTTTGGTGGAAAACATGCAGATAAATGGCCGTGCCCAAGACCCAGGCCGGACCATCTCACTGACGTTACTGGACAACTATGACTACTGGGTGATACTCGATCCCACCCGACAGAGGCTCTACCTGAACAGCACCGGGCGCATTCTGGACAGAGACGTGAGTATAGCACCAAAGATGGTGACCCTTAATTAAACATCACGAAAGATAAAGTCAAACTTACTACTTTTCACACACTGGAAAAAATGCTGCTCCAAAAACAAATTAAACAATAATGAAAACATGGTGTTTTCATTTGAAATAAGTACAGAAATCCTCCGATAGAAGTGTGAATTTGCTTGGTAAGATTTCTTGAAATAAGATGGGATATTTAGATAAATCAGATCTAGTAATTAGCTGGGAAACTAATTTTGAACTATATTTGACCAGAATCATGAAATGTTGTTACAATATAAGTCGCAAATACTCAAACGTTTTCTGTTTTCTGATGTTCGTTGGTGATTTTCTATTAAACATGTTAATAAATATGTGTTTCATCTGAGATCCAACTCAAAATCAAATGGTTTGACTTAACAAGATCATGCAAAACAAGACCCGATATCTCACTGCAGTGTTACTTCTGAAGTCATTATGTCTTATATCAGGTGTAAAGACATATTCTGACTAGATATTAGACAAATATACTCGGCTAGATTTTTTGTTGTGCACAAGCTATTTCTGTAATGTGGTAACTAACATGATAGTCATTATCAGTTGTTGTACACATACAGTATCTGTCTGTGTGTTAATGCAAGTGAGTTTCTTTTTTTTAGTGCAATACCAATTAGTTACAAGTTAAAAAGCTCTGTATTTAGCATTGGGCACATCCAAAAGCAACCAGTTAGCCAGAAGACCTTTACTTGAAATACCATGTACTGTACAGAGTAACAGCTTTGTTGTACACAAATCAACACCCTTCTTACACAGTGCTTACTTTATTCTTAATTTATAAAAATAATCTAAATATAGGAAAATAAACATTTGTATGAAAAGAAAAAATGCAAAAATTACAATATTTACAATCTTTATGGGGAGCTCACTAACCCTGATGATATGTGTTGTTTTACAAAATCATTTCTTCACTACTTGTATCAATGAAACAGCTGCTCACGTGGCAGAATAATCACAAACCTGGAGTAGACAATAACATCCAACAAATCTTGCTTTTTACCAGAGTACTCTAGCTAGCTGCTTGGGGTTATTTAGAATCATGATACAGGCTATTGCAAGTGTCTGAATCAGATAAGTGGTGTTTACACGCGCAACACAAAAGCAGCATACTCCTTCGGTAAACTCTGCTTTTCTATAGTTCTTTGTTGTCTTAACTCTTGCAAACTGGGAAGTGATATATATCAATACAGTAAGGCAATTAACCTCGATTCTTGACTCCTTCCTACACATTGCGACTCGTGATGTTTTTCACTGTTGTTTAGCTACAAACAGAAAAAAATACGTAACGTGGCAACCAAGCTGGTGGTCATTGGTTTCCATCGAGCATTCCAATTCAACACTGCTGCTAAATATAGTACTGTGTGTGTGTGTGTGTGTGTGTGTGTGTGTGTGTGTGTGTGTGTGTGTGTGTGTGTGTGTGTGTGTGTGTGTGTGTGTGTGTGTGTGTGTGTGTGTCTCGAATATTTTTCAAGGCAAAGATACGTTAAACCCACTGCAGCCTTGCACTTCGCCAGGAGAGGTCGCTGTAACTGAAGCTTCGAGAAATGAACCTATTTCCGACACAATTGTCCAAGTGGTTCGACGCTTCATTCAAAGCTTCATTTTGCCATCACTAGAGAAAAGGCGTGTTAAGCATATATTGAATGTGAAAAGTACCAATCCTCTGTTTAAATGCAACAACGGACATTAGAGACGAGGCGA